GTGGAGGGCGGGCCAGACCGCGAGGCCCGGGAGGTAGTATAAAATACCAGTCCGTATATTTCAATGTAGTTACCGTATGTTTAAATGACTTGGATTCCGTATGTTTAAATGGCCGAGCGGGCTAATGAAAAACCTTCCCGGAGGTAGTCTAAAATACCTGTTCGTATATTTTAAATCGGTATATTTAAATGTAGTTACCGTAAATATATATATATATTGACATATATTCAATTCCGTTCAAGGAATTGCTGTGAGATCAGCTACAAAGATCCTTCACCCGAGCTTAGACACGCTGCAATAGCTCCGTCCCAGTTGAGTTTCACCCAGGAAGAACTGCTGCTCGGAGGACGCGGCCGATGGGAACAGAAACTTCCGAGTTAGATAAGAAACTGACGAAACAAAAACAGAAACTCTGATATCTCTGAAATGATGCTTCGAAATTCTCATCATTTTGTTGGAAATTTGGATCTCCACTAGACCAGTCGCAGGATGGCAGCAACTTTAAGTGTGGTGATGCTGGCAGCAAGCGAGCAAAAAGTTCCAGGCTCAGATGGTCCAAAGGAATTCCGGCGCAAAGGTCCTTTCCAATGCTGAAATGTCATGGATATAATTGATATATCCCATGATATCCCCATTCTACCAGCATTTTTGTTGCTTAAACCATGAACCCTAAACTTCTAAAGCCTGTTTATTGCTCCAACCCATTTGATTCCGCATTTTTCACCAAGGTGGTCTGAGATTAGTGGAGGCTGCGGAATTGCCATTCTACCGGCACCTGAGTTGCAAGTTGATCCTCGGGGCCTCGGGGTTTGGTGGAATCTATTGAAAGATAACAGAAATTTGAGTAATTTCATGTTTGTGGAATGTCGTTGTTTGAGGGTTATATGAAGATATAAGGATGCAATAACAACTGATCGCTACAGTTTGGGGGGAAGCCAGGAAGTTACCGTTCTGTAGACAACACTTGGTCACGAGACTGAGATTGGAAAGACATGGTGCTGAATCAATTTCCATGAAGCAAATGAGCCCCATGAGGATTCTCCCACAATTATATCATATCATGTCATTGGATGTTATTGGATGTTATTGGATTCGGGTGCTGTGAAATAGTTCTGACATGTCTTCCCGCATTCAAAGATGATAACCACTGTCACACCGAAGCGGATCAGCCAGACTGTAGGTTGGCGGTGATCCAAGCAACTGGCAAATACAAGGCGTGGCCGTGGGGACCGGCGAAGCCAAGCCCAATAAGTGATGTTCTGCTGGCTTTCAAGGGGAGTAATATACTTTTGGGTCTCAAACTTTGTGGTGGGACCATTAGCCATTAGCTCTGGTTCCACTTGGTGGTTGCTTCATCTCGAAACAAGGGGGTGACAGCAGTCTACATGTTAAGGCCCACACATTCCCTCATACAAGCCAAATCACAGACAGGGGTTGTTGGCAGTTCTTAGAGGTAATCCCTCGGGACAGAAACTTAGGCAATGTTCAAGTGAGCCATGTTGAGTCGAGCAACGGACTGCTGAATTCAGGCATGGACTAGTTAGTTTTAGATGTTTTAGATTGGCGTACGGTGTCCAACACTGTTGGCATAAAACGGCCGCCATTGACAGGCCTTGTTGTCAAAAAATGGGTCGACCTGTTGGAAGCCACCTGTCCTGCCAGATGGTGAGCCCTCACCCCATCTTCTTCAAGTGGTTGGAGGTCGGGAAAAGTCGACAGTTGCCATGGCACTATGTGTGTCTGTGTGTGTGTGTGTCCTGGCCAAGCACTGCAACGATCCCAATGGACTTTTGCGCATGTTCTAGTTGAAACTCTGTAAACATGTTAAACAGGTCTATTTATTCCATGTGTTTTCCTTGTTTATCCCTTATTTTTCCCATTTAAATAGCCATAGATTTTGGGGGCCCGATTCAGCATTTTCAGTTCCCACAGTTCCCACAGCCATAGCAACAGGACCCAGTGGCAGAACTTCATGCCTGGCAACGGCAGGGCTTCAGGTGCCGGTTGCTACAGCTGACCAGGTATCCAAGGTCTAATTTTACCAGTCTGAATTTGGGATAGATTGGATACATCTGATGATATGGGGATTCTTGCGGTTGGTATTGTTGGTATTGTTGGTATTGTTGGTATTGGTTAATTTGCCAAAATTGTTTGTTGATTCTTGTGAAAAGGTAGCGGTTTGAGGGTGTTGAGGGGGATGTTAGTGCACCAATCTCCACCCCACCTGGCAGCTTTGCTGTTCTTTACTGGATAAGCTCCTCTCTAGAGAAATGGATATCGCTAAATTCCACCAAATTCCAATGAAGCCAATGACCGGAGGTGTCTCGCACCAACGCTTAACGGGCTTCAGCACCAAAAACCGCCGAGCGCACCAGGCTCTTTGTGATCGCAATGTCCGGAGCATTTGTCTTCAGTGGTGCTGCGTCAGACCCTCGGTGGCGGAGGTGATCGGTCACGACCAGTTGACCACCGAAGATGGCGCCGCAGCGACTATGCATCGGCTGGGAGGAAAAAGAAGTACTATATTATGAAATGTTATGATTTTTATTAGATGTTGTCGTTTTTACACATATTGTTATGATTTTTTTTTTATGCAAGTATTATTTCTATTATCATGATTATTGTTATTCTTCTTACCAGCACTGTTGTGTATCTTTATTATGTATATGTACATATATTAATATATATATATACATACGTACATATATCCTGTTCATGATTTCCTACCTTTGCTCACCCCCAGCTGTTCTTGAGGTTGGCGCTGGCGGTCCATGCCATGCACATTGTGATCTGAGTGGCGAGTAACCTGAGGGCCCTCGAAAAAGTGTCCCTGCTGCTGGGTGTGGACCCCGAAAAAATGCTGATTGCGGTCATTGCAGTCATCAACAATATTCTAGTATCAGTTTCTGGGACTGCCCGCATCGAAAAGCGATCATTGGATTTTGAGACTTTGATACCCGTTATTGGTCACACATAGTATCAGCATACAGACAGTTAGCCGCAGCGCGCGTGCATCGCAGCTGAGGGGAGGTTTTGACCCCTGCCATGGAGACCAGGCTGAAATATGACCTCATTGGTGATCCCTGTGCGTGTGTTTTTTTTGAGAACTGGCGACCACTGAAGGTTTTGTTGGATTCCAAGGGGCCCTAGATTCAGCCACAGGAATCCCAACGAAAAAAGCGTTGCGATTGTAACTGGTACGCTATTCGAAACAACCAACTCAAATAGAAACGTTTCCAGGCTCCCAATGTCCAAGGAGTGAAAAGTTGCAAAGGTTTCAATGCTCAAATATCCCAGCATCCAAGAGTGCCATGTTCCAGCAGGTCAAAAATAGAGCCAAAGATTCCAAGGTCCCAGTGTCAAAAGGGCCTTTCAATATGTTCTTTACAGTGGTTTCAAGCGGTTGAACATACGTAGTTGAACCTTTGTCGCAGAACTTTCTTCTTCTGGGTTGCAAAGATAATGCTGTCAAATGTACGAATGTCGATGGGATTTATGTCCGCAGCTCCTTGTGAAGGCCGCGTCCATCACAACTCACAGCATGATGTTGCGGGTATTGTGTTGGAATTTGCTTTACAAACATGTTTGTTTGGCAATCCACGGGAAAGACATCACCAGCGAGCTTGGGTGTGTACAATGAACACCGGAAGCGTCTCGGAGGTCCGACTTGGGAGAGTCCACGGAGCGTAAGTTCCAACTTGTTGGTCCTGCTTGGTCCTGCTGGTGATGCTGATGACAACCAGCAGGTCTGGATAAATCATAGCCATTCTGATTCCATGACCAGCTTGGACATGATAATTTTTGCAACATTGCGTTGCTAAAATATGTGTGCTTTGTCTTCTTCCAGATTTTGAAGAATTGCTTCTTCCAGAAGCATGTCGCCCACGTCAGTACCAATCAAAATGCTTGCACGGCCCAACACGGCTGCCTCAGGCCATGATGGAGGTGCTCTTTGGAGATTCGGCTTTTCTCGGCAGTGGGCAGATGTTTTTGTTCTAAACATAACTTCTACTATTCATGTTTGAGATAGCCAGTTTTTGAGCTATGTGCATGTACAAAGCAGACGGAATTGCATCAGCCAGGGCTTTGGAGACAAAATCAGCACTTATGTAAATTCAATCAACAATAATAGCGATGTAATCACAGAACTCAATTCTGCTGCAGGTTTTGGTGGCTCGCCGATCCATGCAGATCAGGAGACCAAGAGAATTTGTAACTAGGAAAAACACATATGACAAGATCTTCACTTGTCATTCAGGCATAGGCCAGAAAGGATCTAATGTCTTCCATGTTGCAACTCTTTCGTTTCAATCAGTTCAGCATATTTCAACAGAAACAGTCGCAATGTTGAATCCTAGCGGGGCTTAAAAAAAGGGGACACCGGTTTCGTGGGCCACTTGAGACCAGATCGAGAAATCCATCTGTGGTCTGACCATCTGTGGTTTCTACGGTTCCAGACACTCATATTTCTTGGATTTTTGGATTAGTGATAGACATATCTCATTAATCATCATAGTGTTCTTGGACTTCTTTGGAACACTTTCTTTGCGGTTCGATTTTTCAGTTGTCTTCCCTGTCAGGACTGGTCACCGCCAGCACATTGGATGCTTCTTCAGCCCTTGGAAGATCGAGGCCTAAATGGGAGGATTCAGATAGTGAAGCAGTTCTGAATTGCTTGCATGTTTGGTCACCGAGAGTCACCTTATTGACTTTTAACATGTCCATTTTCAAATCTCTCTCTGTTTGTCTTCACATTAAACCATACTGTAAGCCCTACTGTAAGCCCTACCGTAAACGTTTCAGGGTTTTATTGAAGTTCAATTTCTGGACCACAACTTGGCATGGTGGAGTAATTATGGAGTACTAGTGCTACCATCATTGTGACCTTCGACATGGCCCAGGGCGCGCTGAGAAGCCGCCGCTAGGACCGCAATTGCAGAGATTGCCGTGAAGTGTGCAACGGCCGGGTGAGCAATTCCATTCAGTCATCCATCCCTCAGATTCGGCTCAGGGTGAGGAACACTGCGGTCCACTCCGGTCCACTGCCATGCAGGCCCCACGCTTTCTGACTCTGACAGCGGTGGTTAGCGCAGGTGCATCGTGGCTGCCTGTCTATGACAACAATGGCAGCCCTGTTTGCACCGTAGGAGGCACCTTGCAGTGCACAGGTGGCACAGGCCAGTGCGAATGTGTTGGCACAGCTCCAACTGTAGTGCCACCCCCATGCGACACCACGTTGGAAAGTTATGTACCAGATTGCTACTCGAGATGCCGTGACGTTGATGGCGCTTGCATTACCTATTTCAGTTGTCCAGAGGGTTTCTCGAAGTCAGACATGATTTGGACCTGTGAATCTGGACATTTGGCCAGTCTGCTCGGATACGACTACCAAGAGAACATTAAGCTCCTGGCAGACAAGTCCTACAGTCGAGTAATCACATCCTCCACCTATGATGACGGCGAAACCTGGACACCAAGTTGCCACTCACCTGGACCTCAGAACTATGCCGTGGGGTATCAAACTTGCTACACGCTCGATCCCAACGTTGGTGTCCCTACAACTACCACCACCACCACCACGACGTGGGGCATTCCAATTGTCTGGGAGAACGTGGGCGAGCCAGGCAAGTCGGTCTGCAGAGGTCAGAATGCTTCTTGGCAATGCTTGGCGGGGATTGTTTGGGTTCACGGTCATTTTACGGTCATTCTACTTGAAAAACATTGTGAAACACATTGAAAAACCATCCACAATTCCTTTTTGATGGATGTTGATAAATGATAGCACCACCTTTTGAATGTGTTTGTTTGAGCAGTTGTGGGTTGTTCGTAGTTGAGAGAGATTGAGAGAGTTGATAGCTGTCAGTGAGCGTCATTTGCTTGGATGGCTCCTAATTCTGCTTCGGTTTTGTATCGAAGGAAGTAAAACAGAAGTCAAACTTCCGATTTCTTGAAAGGTGCAGCCAGAGTTATACAGGGGAGGTGCCCATGCGCAAAAAAAGATAGTGAGAGAAAGAGAGAGAGAGAGAGAGCGAGAGAGAGAGAGAGAGATAGACAGAGAGAGGGATATATATATATGTAGAGAGAGAGAGAGAGATAAAGAGATAAAGAGATAAAGAGATAAAGAGATAAAGAGATAAAGAGATAAAGAGATAAAGAGATAAAGAGATAAAGAGATCAGAGATAAACGGATGGACGGATAGATAGATTGATAGAAAGTAGATAGAGAGAGAGAGAGAGAAGAAAAAGATATATATATATAGTATGTATAAATATATGTATATATACATATTTATTATATTATATATATATACATATTATATATATATACATATTATATATATATACATATTATATATATACATATTATATATATATACATATTATATATATACATATTATATATATATATGATATATGTGTGTGTATATGTATATGTATACATGTATATGTATATGTAGGTAGATAGGTGTATAGGTAAATAGGTAGATAGGCAGAGGGATATAGGTATCGGTACTGCGTAAATGAATGTGCGAGTCAATCCGCAGAGCGGTTGCCACCCAGCAAAGGAGAACCAGTGGAGGCCCTTGAGGCCAAGTCACTGGAAGGTACCAGTGGCAAGGGAAAAGCTGGTAGCCAGATAGGTCGACAGGTGGATAGGTCTGTAGGTTGATAGGTAGATAATAGATAGATAAACAGATAGACAGACATTGCCATGTGACCAGACATCACGCCCCCAACAACTTCTCAGTCCAAGTGAATCACTGCGCCATTTATGCAAACAAAACAATGCACTTCTCGTAATAGGTGTCAAATATTACAGTAGAACGTGAAATATCCTATTGTTGCGCAGTGAATTTGAGTGACAGAACGACCTGTCCACTCTCGCACCCTTTTCATCCTTTTGGGGAAGACACGCGACGCAGCCAGTACAAGTTGGGAGCCTGCATACAAACATTGGCATTGGACCCTGTTTGTGGGGAAATTGTAGGGAAATCGGAAAGACATAAGCAGACTGAGGTCAATGATAATGACCCAAATCACTACACCGTGCGAGCAGCCCAAAGCTTGGAAGACTGCAAAGTCCTTTGCTCCCAACAGCCCAGCTGCAAGGGCATTGAGTATAGCGTTGGCAGGTGTGAGATTTGGATTCGTCCTCAAGGCATTTACATCTCCAAGGTCCTTGACGGTTTCACCTGTCTTCGATACGGCCGGGACACTTCCAGTCTTGTGAAGTATGAAGGTGGAGACAAGGACTATGCCTGTCGATACCAAGATCCAAACGACAACTCGGCGAGTTTTTACAAGGTCTCGAGTCCACCATGTTTGGTACTGAGCGATTGCAAAGCACGCTGTGCGGCAGCCGACGTTTGCTATGGCATTGAGTTCTCAAAGGGCCGCTGCGAAATTTGGCTGCGACCCATCAAAGCCGCGAAGGAGATTGCAGGCTTTGAATGTTGGATTTACCCTGGGGCTACCTATGAGCCGAATGTGCTTTTGCCCTGACATGCATGTTTACTTTGAGGATGAATTTGCACCCAGGTCTCGTGAATGAGACGTTGCAAGTCACATTGGCACATACTTGAAGGTCCCATCTACAGTTGTGGGAAATTTGGGTTCGCGCTATGACTATGCTTTGGACACCAGCATTCAAAGCATGCATTACCAAGGGTTGCAAGCTAGCTATTGTGCTTGTTGTGCTCGCAAGCAGGCTCTTGTTTAGGGGTTACTTTTGGAATCAGACACTTAGACACTTCAAGACACGTTTGCAGTTTTTTTCCACTGCTGACCCTCTTGTGAGCCTGGTTGTTTGCGCAGGTCTTCCTCTGAAAGAGGGTTAGGATTGGCACAGGCATCAAATTTACCATTGGCTTCGGCCGACCCGGCCAGGTTTTCAATGCTGATGGTTTGCCTACAGTGACATGACTGACATGACTGACTGACAGAAGAAAGAGGCCGAACTGCATGCTTTTGCCTGCAAAGGAGGGTTTATGTGCAATTAGATCTTGTGATAAGATATCGGGGGTCGAATTTCTTAAGCTTTTGTTGTAGTGCCCGTGCGCCCTTCAAAGATTCACATCTTGCCAGTACCGCACATGGCTTATGGAAATCCATGGCAACAAGATTCGCTGTGCCTCTTTGTTTCAGTCGTATCTAGGACTTCATGTTGATGCGCATCCGCCCCATCGAATTGCTAATGGTACCAACAAGAGTCTACATTGATGTCGATGCAGACCCTTGTTGGCGCCGTTAGCAGTCGATGAATGCCAAGCTTGACGTTCAGCCCGCGGCGTTTTAGGGGGCCCCAGGGACGGATGACTGATGTTGAAGTGTGTGGTTGATTTTGGTTGCTGCCCCATTGTAAGGGAATGCTCGTGGTTTTCATTGCCTTTTATGAGACGAAATGAAGTCGCTTCAATTTACCTTGCTTCCAAAACAGATGATAGCCTGTTTCTACAATAATTGTTTGGAACGTGGATCCAGCTGCAGCCAATTCCAAAATTCATAAAGATTATGGCGCTGTAGCGCTGACACAGATTTTCTAAGCATATGGCATATATGGCCTCCTTTTTGCTGCATCAGCGGCAAAAGATACAAGAGACCTTTGCTGGGCACACGAAGACCACTCTACAGTCGTTCGGCTTTTCGTGGCTCAATTTCGAAGTCTCACCCAACGGACAACAGTGATGTGTTGTCTTGTTTGAGGACAAATCCAATCAGAGAAGCTATACTCCAAATATGAAAAACCACAATGCGCTTTTTTTTGTATATTTGAAATTACATGACAAAGATGCGGATGGAACCAATCAAGTTGGTATGTCCAACCCATTTGGTTGAAAGGTGACAGATATTTGACCAGCCCACCACCCCAATGGGTGTGGTTTCTAGTTTGTCTTATGCCAACCAGAAGACAGTCAAAACTTGGAAATCTGGCTGGTGGAGGTTTGAACGATCTCACCACGGAGGAAGCGCTACACAGAGACGATAAAAGTTATGGGATTCAGGGAATCGCATGGCCATCAAAGGTGAGGGTTCAACGAATACTGCGAACATGATGTTGTTTGAAGATGTTTGAAGGTGACTTTAAGTGACTCAAAGGCAGCATGTATGCATTTTGTCGGCGCCTTTGAGAAGCTCAGGTTTTCTCTGTGTCAGGATGAGATTGAATGCGGTAAATGTTTTTGTCCAGAAAATGCGACTGGAAAGACCCTTCACCTCTCAAACCGTCTTACATTTTGCAAGTGCCCAAATTGGAACAGAATTGACTTTTGGAACAGAATTGCAAAACATGTACAATATAGTATGATGATATCTTTCATCTGTCGCTGACATGAAGGGACATTACATATTAAGTGCAATGAAATTGAGCGGCGCCATATGAAAAAATGTTCGACATGCCGTGGTTACTGGTGCTGATAGTATTGGGACATGTTTGCATGTTACGCATGGTTAGAGATGTTTATCGTAGACGGGATACAGATGCAGCATGAGGGTTTTGAACAAAACGTAAGCAGGAAACAGCATTGAACTAGGTGCCGGCTGCAAGCCATGGATTTGAAACTCAACATTTGGTTGAGCTTTGCGAAATATAAAAAATGGGGGGGTACAATGAGATAGATTGGATATGTATTGGATATGTAATGGAATATAACGTGAGATATATGATCACAGTTTCTAACCCCACAGCTGCCAACAAGGGTTACCCATTTTCAGACAAACCCATATGATCCATATGTTTGATTGAATTGCGGGGGGATTACACCTTTTGGAGTAAGATTTGTTTGATGTTACATGGCCAACATGGACAAAATATCCATTGATCACAGGCATATTCCAGTATCGGGGAGCTGGTCCCCAAAGAAAGAAAAACTCTGCAGTTTCAGACTCCTGATGTCCGGCTCAAGTATAAGCGGACGGGGCATCCGCTAATGATACATGCAGTCCAGCGGCAGCTTCCGCAGAATCCAGAAAAAATCCGCTCACTGGCAAACCACTTGATTGGTCCATGAGTTCCACAGTGTACAACATTGACCCTTCAACCTCGAAAATAAAATGGGTGTCACAGTTTCCATTGTTCCTGTGAGTTGACGCGGCTCAACTCTTTTTGTTGCAGCGCCATGGAGGACCTTTTTTTCGGTCCCAGTGATGGTTTGATGCTGCTGAGGGGAGAATCTGAATCTGGGAGAAGTATTTCATGTATTTTGGGTAAAAACAAGGAGGATACAATGAAAATAAATGGCTGAGTAGCACCAAGGTGGTTTCTCAGACTTGAGTGCAATTTTATCCCTACCAAGATTGGTTTTCTTTTGTAGGTGAACTGCGACCTGCCAGTCTTGTTTTTTGGTGGTCCCAGTAGAAAAGCGGTGTGCCGCAGGCACTGTTTGATTTGTATACAAAGCTGCTGTGGGCTCCCCCTTTCCACAGAAAACTGTGGTGGATTGAGCCCCTGGGGACCCTTGTTCCGTCACAGCGTCACAGGACAAACACAAGCTTTTTGTTGGCAGCTTACCGTGCGGCACTTGGTGTTTGGTTGTTTCGCCCCAAATTTTGGATACCCCGCGCTAGTTTCATCGTGTTTCATCTTATGTCATCCCAGTTTTGGTGTGCAATAAAGGTGTTTGTCTCAAAATTATGGGGAGCCGCTCCCTCATTGTTTCTCATGAGTTTCCCCATGTTTTAGGGTCTCATCCCCCAAATTTTGGACAAACCCACGTATCATATTGGTTACGCCTCCTATTAGGTTCCACTAGATCCCATTGAATCCCATGTTTTCTTAGTTATGTCCCTTGTGTCCCTTAGAATATCCCCATGTTTGGAGCTAACTTCTGCAACGACGGCCCCCAAGTCCGGACATCACGGACGAAGAGATCACCGCGGCCTTTGGAGCTTATGGCGGGGCGATGACTTTTGGGATCACCGAGAATCGGAATATGGTAAACCTGGTAGTAAACCTGGTGAACTAATAACTAATAATCATAACCTAATAATAACCCTAAACCCTCCAATCAACATAAATGATATAAATGGGTTGTCTAAACCATCCCCCAAATGGTAGGTTGATCATTCATCTAACCGCATTATGATGGATGCAACCTATCATAAAATGGTTAACATGTGCTCTGGGTATAAATTATATTATATATCCCATTTGTTGATTATGATTGGTTTAATGTGAGGCGGGAATTCGCTGATTGAAGTTCAGCTAGTACAGTAGTGATTCATTACTCTTCAAGTTGGTGAGTTGGAGCAACCTACCTATTGCATTTAGGTTGTTGGAATTATTCAACACAGAAAATGTTCCTGGTTTCCAGAATGGATTAGAAGTGCTCCCCATACCCCCATTTCATTCCAGACCTGGGTCACTGCACAGGGACTGTCATCGAGCACCATCTCATGAGGGGCAAGTCTACCTCTGGCCAGGTCGCCGTGGCAGGATCAGCCCAACCAAATCCAATGGGTTGGAAGATATTGGAAGACCATCGAATAGCTATCAGTACCCTCTGGAAATTTAACATCGCTAAGGAAAATTAGCATGTTTAATAGGTAGATCATCGAAGTCCATGGTCATGTTCCATGGCTATATGAAATGAAGGGTGCTATGGATCTTCCAAGAGGCCGAAATTGATGCTTTGGGCTGACTGCCGACCGGCCGACCGCATCCTTTAAAAGTGTCGCATTTGGGGCTTGCAAGGCAGATCACTTTCGAAATTTGAAATCAATAGCAGATAATCAAAGGAAGTTTAGGGGGAGAAACTTCCGTGTTACGGACTTTTAGAATGTCAGAGAAAGAGTTAGTCAAAGAAAGAGTTAGCAAAGAAAGAGTTCGTCAGGGAAAGAGTTAGTCAAAGAAAGAGTTAGTCAAAGAAACAGTTAGTCAGGGAAAGAGTTAGTCAAAGAAAGAGTTCGTGAGGGAAAGAGTTAGTCAAATAAAGAGTTAGCAAAGAAACAGTTAGTCAGGGAAAGAGTTAGTCAAAGAAAGAGTCGAAGAAAGAGTTAGTGAGGGAAAGAGTTAGTCAAAGAAAGAGTTAGTCAGGATATATGAGGTAGTCAAAGAAAGAGTTAGCAAAGAAAGAGTTAGTCAAAGAAAGAGCAAAGAAAGAGTTAGCAAAGAAAGAGTTCGTTAGGGAACGAGTTAGTCCAAGAAATTGTTCCCGCAATGTAAATGGGATTGCAAGTGGTGCTGGTGGATGAGTTGCCGATGGAGTTTTGAAGGAAGTCTCGCACGAAATGCGTTTTTGAGAGATAGCAGATGCACGAAACCCTTTGTTTTTCCATACAAAGTCCGTCCCCGAACCTCGATGATCTACCTCTGCGGTGCGACGGTTGCGAGACGGTCTCGTGTGTGGTCGGATCTCATTCTCGGATCATGCTCGGACCATGGTCGGATCGGTTCCGCATTGTAAATGGGGTTTCAAGTGTTTTTCGTGCATGTGCGGTCGACAGAATTCCATTGTGATTTGCAACTGTAGGATCGTTCACGCAATGTAAATGGGATTGCAAGTGGTGCTGGTGGATGAGTTGCCGATGGAGTTTTGAAGGAAGTCTCGCACGAAATGCGTTTTTGAGAGATAGCAGATGCACGAAACCCTGTGTTTTTCCATACAAAGTCCGTCCCCGAACGCCGATGATCTACCTCTGCGGTGCGACGGGTGCGAGACGGTCTCGTGTGTGGTCGGATCATGCTCGGATCATGGGCGGATCATTCTCGGATCGGTTCCGCATTGTAAATGGGGTTTCACCTGTTTTTCGTGCATGTGCGGTCGACAGAATTCCATTGTGATTTGCAACTGTAGGATCGTTCCCGCAATGTAAATGGGATTGCAAGTGGTGCTGGTGGATGAGTGGCCGATGGAGTTTTGAAGGAAGTCTCGCACGAAATGCGTTTTTTTTCCATTTTGGCGCTAGTGATTTTCCTTCTAAAAATCCTTTTAAAAAGTGCTTCAAAATCTTCTTTTTTTCGCTCTGGCGTCGAGATCCATCCGGTTTTGAAGCTACAATTTCCGACGCCGTTGCGCGTAGTTCTATTGTGTTTTGCAACTCAGTCTCCGCAGATCGCATTGTAATGGCTGCGTCAAGGTTGCTTCCTGCTTTGGCTGTATGCGTAATACTATTGTCTTTTGCAGCTGGACTTCGTAAATCGTATTGGAGTGGCTGCATGAAGGCTGCGACAATGATTTGTCAGCAGATTTTCTCCATTTTGGCGCTAGTGATTTTCCTTCTAAAAATCTTTTTAAAAAAATGCTTCAAAATCGCCTTTTTTTCGCTCTAGCATCAAGATCCGGTTTTGAAGCTACAATTTCCGACGCCGTTGCGCGTAGTTCTATTGTGTTTTGCCACTCAGTCTCTGCAGATCGCATTGTAGTCGTTGCGTCAAGGTTGCTTCCTGCTTTGGCTGTATGCGTAATACTATTGTCTTTTGCAGCTGGACTTCGTAAATCGTTTTGGAGTGGCTGCATGAAGGCTGCGAAATGGATTTGTTAGCAGATTTTCTCCATTTTGGCGCTAGTGATTTTCCTTCTAAAAATCCTTTTAAAAAGTGCTTCAAAATCGTCTTTTTTTCGCTCTGGCGTCGAGATCCCGGTTTTGGAGCTACAATTTCCGACGCCGTTGCGCGTAGTTCTATTGTGCTTTGCAACTCAGTCTCCGCAGATCGCATTGTAATGGCTGCGTGAAGGTTGCTTCCTGCTGTGGCTGCATGCGTAATACTATTGTCTTTTGCAGCTGGAGTTCGTAAATCGTATTGGAGTGGCTGCATGAAGGCTGCGACAGTGATTTGTCAGCAGATTTTCGCCATTTTGGCGCTAGTGATTTTCCTTCTAAAAATCCTTTTAAAAAGTGCTTCAAAATCGTCTTTTTTTCGCTCTGGCGTCGAGATCCGGTTTTGGAGCTACAATTTCCGACGCCGTTGTGCGTAGTTCTATTGTGCTTTGCAACTCAGTCTCTGCAGATCGCATTGTAATGGCTGCGTCAAGGTTGCTTCATGCTGTGGCTGCATGCGTAATACTATTGTCTTTTGCAGCTGGACTTTGTAAATCGTATTGGAGTGGCTGCATGAAGGCTGCGACAGTGATTTGTCAGCAGATTTTCTCCATTTTGGCGCTAGTGATTTTCCTTCTAAAAATCCTTTTAAAAAGTGCTTCAAAATCGTCTTTTTTTCGCTCTGGCGTCGAGATCCGGTTTTGGAGCTACAATTTCCGACGCCATTGCGCGTAGTTCTCTTGTGTTTTGCAACCCAGTCTCCGCAGATCGCATTGGAATGGCTGCGTCAAGGTTGCTTCTTGCTTTGGCTGCATGCGTAATGTCTTTTGCAGCTGGATCTCGTAAATCGTCTTGGACTGGCTGCATGAAGGCTGCGAAATGGATTTGTTAGCAGATTTTTCTCCATTTTGGCGCTAGTGTTTTTTTGTTGCACGTAGGTTTAGAGCAGTGTGAAGTGTGGGGCGTGAAGAGTGCAGTGTGAAGTGTGCAGTGTGAAGGAAGCAGTGGGAAGTGAGAAGTGTGAAGTGTGGAGTGTGAAGTTTAAGGTTGGAGTGCGAAGAGCGCAGTGTGAAGTGTGAAGTGTGAAGTGTGAGGTTTGGAGTGTGAAGGAAGCAGTGAGAAGTGAGAAGTGTGAAGTCTGAAGTGTGAAGTGTGGAGTGTGAAGTGTGGAGTGTGAAGTTTCAGTTTGGAGTGCGAAGAGCGCAGTGTGAAGTGTGAAGTGTGAGGTTTGGAGTGTGAAGGAAGGAGTGAGAAGTGTGAAGTGTGGAGTGTGAAGTTTGAAGTTTGGAGTGCGAAGGGTGCAGTGTGAAGTGTGGAGTGTGAAGACTTTGCTTCGTCTCTCGCTGAAAAAATCAAACGGTTGTCGAGGGAAGGACACGGTCGGGACAGGGTGTCATTGAACTATAGGTCATTTATGTTTGGGAAACTTCCGCCGCTGGCTTGCCTGGGTCTATGTTGTAGCATCCATTGTGGTATTCTTATTTGGACGTTTCATGATGTTTCTTTTCCAATGTGGAAATATGTGGATTTTTGTTTATGTGATGGTCAACCACCGGCTGGGCTTCCCTCCCAAGAGCTGAGTCCATCCAGGCTTGTGCCTTCGTGGTTTTGGACAGGCGCGCAGCGCAACCAGATTCACCATGATCATCAAGAAAGTACTGGTAGTGTGTGTGTGTGTGTAGATGTATGGAACAGTTATAATATATATATATATGTGTGTACATACATGTATGCAAAACCACATCACGAAACACGAAACGTGGTGCACAATCTGTATGACCAGCGTACAGCGTACGCGTTTCTGCTGGAGCATGTGTTCTTGTGCTCCTGCCGCCCAGTAAAGCTTCTGGCGACAATGCAATTGCATCCATGGACAACGCCTATGCACTTCGAGAGGCCCATGGCAGTGCATGCTTGTCATTGATGGTCGCCGGATGATCAAAATCTTCCAGACTGGACTTGAGAGATTGACCGTCATCGGGGCTATTGCATTATCGCTGGTGATATCAGTGATGTCCTTATTTTGTTGTATCAGTTGCATCGTATGTTGTATCACCACGTCACATAAATGATGCTCAGGGAGGGACTCCGATCCGAGTGTCTTGGGCCAAGAAACCCGGATACGGAGGAGGCAGGGAGCTGCGGTGTGGAGACCATGAAGATTCTGATGAACAGGAAGATAATTGTGGCTAGTGTGAATTAGTGTGGCTGTAGTGTGTGAAACTCTTAGTTTCAATATTGCTAGGCTTCAGGGATCATTCAATTGGAACTTCTGAAGAACGAGAATTTCTATAAAATTGATGTCCTCCAGCGTTCCCAGCGCCAGGTGGTGGTTTTGGAGGTTGCGGTGGCTACGGTTGCGGCGGATGCGGTGGATGCGGCTGTGGCGGCTATGGTTGCGGTGGCTACGGGGGCCACCTGACCATTTGGTGATCCAAAGTGACGATTCGAGTGGTGAATTTCTGGTGAATTTGGGATTTCTGTTGAAAAGTCTGCTGATTGATGCTGAATGATGCTGATATTGTAAACCATGAGCTGGTCGCCCCGAGCTGCGTAGCAGGTTTCATTAGAGTTCCAGTAGAACAAGTCATAAATTATGTCATGAACATTAATTATATTAAATCTGATTAAATCATCAGATCAAGATACTTTCCAAACCTCAACTCAGTTTTTGTCAGTGAGGTGGTTGTGGCAACTACGGCGGCTGCGGCAACTTTGGTGGCGGCTGCGGCTGGGGTGGCTGTGGCGGCTGCGGCGGTTGCGGCAACTATGGCGGCTGTGGGAAGGGTCAGTGGCAAGGAGGTGGTGGAGGCCTGACTGTTCCGATGCTCTGGTTCTTTATCAACTGCACTGTTCAAGCAACCGGTAGGCAGTATCCCCCAACTGGAAATGACATTCGAATTTGTCGCTTGAATTCGGCATCATAAATAGAGGTCATCTGCGGTCATCTAAACAGGTTTGTCTGAATGGTTTGGGAACAAAAAATCTAGTGTCAATCATCATTCCCAATGAATATTACCATCTATACAGGGGGTATAGGAAGAAAACCTTCCATTTCTAGAAACGATGCACCCCATGGAAGGTGCACCAGCCGGGCCCAAGTCCAAGCTCTTCGTGGGGTGGGGCCCCGGCAGCCGGGTGTGGAAGGGTGGCTTCCAAAGAACAGTAAAATGCCGGGAAAAACCAGAAAGACAATCTGGATAAAAAAAATTGATCATAGGGAATCATGGGTTTGGTGGTTTTAACCATCTTCCCAGGCTGTTTTGAAGCTGGAAAATCGGGATATTTGATGATATCTCCAGTGACATGTGATCTTTCATCGTTCGAAATGTTCAAATCTGCGTCAGGAACCTTCCGCCAGACATTACTCAAGAGGCCGGGACGGAAATGTCACGGCCATCCCCTGGAGATTGCCTATCCATATCTATCCATATCCATCATGTCATCGAAATTCCGAAACCAATGGTGATTATGGATAGGATATGGATAGGCAATGGTACTAACCATATCCATATCCATATTGTACTTTTCGGTTCAAGTGACCTAACTGACCTAACTATTGAGCCTAGAATGGTTTGATGCACGCTAAGAAAGTATCGGCCCATCCACGCTTCCCATGGCATACCTGGCATACCTTTTCTTGAATGGTACTTAGATGTACTTAGTTTGGAGCAAAGCACAACAATCAGACCGTCCTAACTGAAATGATGGTTTTTCCAATTTTCCCGGTATTTTGTTGCAAGGGGTACCCAGTCGGATACCCGGGATACTGCAGATACCCCCTTTCCATCCCATGGTTCATCAATGTTCATCATTTCATCATTTTCCCCATTAGAAATAGCAATGGGGGGTGTCAGTCCTTCAGTGAATCTACCAGCTCCACAACTTGGTTTGCCAGGTCATTTCACAGGTCTTTGGCACCTATGGCACGGCCACTCCACGGCACTTGAAAAAGGTGCTGGGCAGACATGACTTTAGATAATCTTTAAATCAGATTAATCAGATGGGGATTAAAACTCTGGGTTGGATCCACATCTGCAGACGACATGGAGCAAGAACAGACACTGTGTCGAACAGCTTTCGCACATTTTCGCACTGTGAAGTCGCGGATTTGTGGATCTCTTCTCACGCCCCATAGCCACGCAAACACTTGTCAAGTAGTTGGGGTGTGCCCAAAAATTTGGGACTCAAAGAATTTAGTGCTGGGGGTATCAACCCTTCCGGACACGCCCAAAAACGAATTGAAAATTCAAGCGACACATGGTTGATACACACAATTGTTCCAGTTCTTGTTGCTTGAATCATTCGAATCCCTATTTTGTTGCTCCCTCGTACCATTCCAAAACGTTGTTACTACTTCTTGTTTGTCTCAAATATCCATATATATATATACATATATAATATATATATATATCATATATCCATCTTACCCATTACATCCATTACATCCCGGCAACATCCCGGCATCCCGGCTCCCCAGGTGACCAATGTCCACATCATGGCGGGCAAGGCCAAGAGTGGTCAGAGTTGCGCCTTCGTCGAGCGCCCTGGCTGCCCACCGAGGAAACATCCCAAGACTTGGGTCAAATTGGTGTCAAATCCTGTTATTCCATTGGAAATGCCTGGTGATTGAACTATATAATGTTTTTGGCTGATTTTGACTTTGTTTTTGGTGCCCTATTTGGCATTTGAAAATCGCTGTAGTGGGAAAGCTGACTGGTAAGATAGCAACAGAACGGATGAACTGAAGAGTTTCCATTACAATCGGAGGAGCTACCCCAAGCAGAGTTTTCTTGCTTGTCGTCAGCAGCCTCGTGGTCAATTGTGGTTTCACATCATTCGCACCATCCATTGCAGTATGTTTCACTACAATGACCCTGATGACCATAAATCGTTACTGGCACAGCTCCATACCACCGAACGTGGTCCAGGACAAAGTTGAAGGTGGAACTATCAGTCGTCAGTGCCCTGCAACATGTGATGTTGTCAGGTACTCCACTCCAACTGAAGCGGAAACAGCAGTCCCGATCTCGGATATTGTTGGTTCATTGGATCCTAAAAGGTGCGACTTCAAGCCTTTCCCAAAAGAAAACTCCCACTGGCACTACAACCACTAGCTTTAGCAGTTTAGCACCCGGCTGCTTTCGCCCAGGTCTTAACTCTGCACGAGAAGTATGAGATTCGCCCAGGACCGAACGCGCGAACGCCGGATGGTTTCGGTGTTTTCAGGAGCTCTGCAAAAAAAAATAGGTCTGGAAAATTATCATAAATTATCCAACTTGATGACACGGCATGTAGCTACGTTGACTGGCTTTACCCTACATGGATCAGAAAAAAGAAGTATACCGTATACATCCGTATACCCATGTTTGTTGATTCTATATTCTGTAATTATTCTATAGCCGTTTGTACTGGTGCCATCCCATACAGCAAAAAGAAATGGTGAGATGTCGCAGCTCCACAGGGGATGGACACATCGCCGTGAAGTTTGCCAACTCCGGCAATCGACCTGGACCGTGCCCCACATTTGGCCGGGTTCAACTCGCTTCAACTCGGTTCGACCATGGAATTCCGGAGGTCCTCTCCCATTTGGATTGACCTATGTGATTTGTACCCACATTGGCACCAAAACAAATCCCCCTGGATCCGACCCCAAGTCAGCAGTGAGTTTCTACAGTGGCGAAATGGCCGTCCTCAACTTCTATTTGGCTCTGGGAGCAACGTCAAATACATAAATTAATAAAATTAATATCATTAATTTAAAAGCAACGATTGTTTGGTGCAGATCGTGCTGGTACTCATAGCAAGATTGCTCCTGGAATCATGTTCAGACCCAATGCAAAAATCCCACACCAACCAACCTTTCGGCATTCGGGCACAATCAACATCATCCATGTCATTGCAAGTCGTGGATGTTCAAGAGCTAACCCGGGTAACCTAGTCCACAAGCAGATGGAAACGATTTTGGTTGGTTTATGTCGGTTTCTAAACACATTAAAACCCCTTCAATTCAGTAGAGCATCTTTGCGCTACTTAGGTACTGAGACTGCACCAGCGCCATTCTGAAATTGTGCCGGAGACAGCGGATGCACTGACACCTTAGAATGGAGGCAGTAGGATAAGATCAGAGGATTGACTGGTTGTCCACAAGCTGTCCATCAAGAAGCTTCAAAATTGATCATACAGTGATCCTGTGTCATGTATTCACTATTTGAAGTGCAGATGCATCACCGCATTCAAACATATTCAAACATATTCAAACATGGCAGTGTGTCAAAACCATGTACCCCTGGTGAACATCAAAATAGCTGGTAAATGGATGTTCATCCCCCTAAAAATGGTACGTATGTATAGGTATTGATCCATAGCCACATATTCAAATTTGATTCAAACGTTTGTTTCCCATGTGGAATTCCACTTCCAACATTTGCCTCCGTTTGGGCGATCGCTCCGTTGATCCAAACGGCCCGCGGCGCATGGCCGCGCCTGCTTTACGGTGCCTCGGAGCAAGACCCAAACGGTCACACACGGCGGATCACTCAGGTGTGTCTGAAAATGAGATAGTCATGATATTCCCATGTTTTCCCTATCAAACAACAGGGAAAATGGATGAAAATGGTAAGTAACTATCAAATTTGGGCTCCACTTGTCACACTCAGGACCCAAAAACATGATTGGAAGGGAGTGATGGGCATAGGAACCCCCAGTTTTGACCTATACTGGGCATCGACTTGTTGCAAGACCTTTCCATATCCAAGTTGACATGCTGACTTGAGTATGGATGCTAGTGCTGCCCATACCAAAGTGTAGATACGGAATTAGCTAATGCGCCGGCAAAATCAAGATTCCAGCAGTGAAGTGTATGCAACTTATGCCACTCAGTGGGTGCTTGCTCTGAGAATGTTTTGTCCCTCCTATATGACACTTGCTCTACCCTCGCAAAAAGGGGTCGTCCCGCCGGTGCCACGCCGGAATCACGGTCTTGACATTTTTAAGGTGACAGATGTCAGGTTTTTCTCCTAGCTTCATGTTCCACCGAGTTCAACCAAGGGGTCTGCAACTATTTCTACTACGAAAAGACCACTTGCATGCCGTTTTTGCTCCAAGATTCTTAGAGGTTTGAATCATGCACAACAGCTTCATATCATAACATGTGTTTACCATTAAAAAAGGACAGGTTTGTTCGTGCAACAGCACTTCGAAGCATCATCAGCATCATCATGGACTTGTGCGACTCTCAAAAGAAAATCCCCGCCGCCATGGCCACAGTGGGAGAAGTTGCGACGATTGAACCGCAGCTGCCGCAGCTGGATGTGGTGCACGGCCCCAAGGAATGCAAGGAATGCAAGGAACTACAAACAGCTGAGGCAGAACTGATTCGCTGAATCCCCGAGGTTTGTTGCATCCTTTGCAAGTGGTGAGTACACTACCAGTACACTACCAATTTCTACCCGTGAGATTTTCAGTTTTGCTCATTGAATTCACTGGTTCTTGACTCTTGATATATCTACATACGTATAGACACATATGCAGTGAGTGGTTTCACCAGCACTATCAACCCCAGATCAACAAACTGACCAAATTATGTTGCCATCAGAAAGTTCACGTTCTATCTCCAGATCGACTGCGAATTGGTTGATGGAAGGCATTGCTCCGTAGTGAAGAAGAGCCAGAGAAAGTAGCTTGGATGCAGCTTCACGAGGGCTTTGGGCCCCAAGAGTAATGAACATCCCAATCAAGTCTCATTCATATCATGTTTGGGATATTCATCAAGCGAGTAGGCTGAAATGAATTAAGTTGTTGTACAACTAAGAAATGGCACAAAGGATACGGCCATGTTTTAGTGCAAAGTATTGTGAATGCTCTCGAACGGAGGGATTTCCGACTCCTCGCATTTCAATCCAATTGCACCACAATTGGTTTGGATATAGATGTGATATGTCCATGGTTGCCTACAATCCCCATAGACCATGGGGATTTCGAGATTCTATCCTCCAGTATACTAATATAGCTCTGGAAAGTGGCCCATTTAATGATAATGTGCCTATTGTTTTAATGGTGATGTTCCAGTTTGCAAACTGTAACAAACTACCAGACAGTACACCATTATACAATATTATATCCCATTATATCTGAATCCCATCAAATTCCATGGTTCAAAAATCATAAATATAGTATTTCAATAGGGATATCCACATGGTATCCACATGGTATCCACACTTTTTATCACCGTTCACCCCATGGGACTTACACTGAAACCCCTCGAGGTCGCGGTGGTCGAAGTGGAGATCGGGAGTTCCCAGAGCAAGGCAACGCCGCGGCAGATCTCCACGCTCTGCAACAAGGTGCTGAAAATGGCTGGCCCTGCAATGATGGGTACCCTCTGGTAAACTAACATAGCTATTGAAAATGGCCATTTATAGTGGATTTTCCCATTAAAAATGGTGATTTTCCATAGCTATGTTAAATTACCAGAGGGTAAATCCAATGACTGGATAAATGACCCAATATATGGATAATATTAATGGATATGGAGAAGAACCTCAGGAATCCATGGGATTTTATAACATTGTATAACATTGTATAACCATGTATAACCATGTATAACCATATAGTGGGAAATGACCTTGATGAAATACTTAACGGATTGTTTTTTTACATGTGGAAAGTGCTTGTGGATTGGGATTGGCCCTGCTCTTCCAGGTGTTTTCTCGACCGGCAACACTAACTGTCCAATCTCCCACTCCCGACTAGGCAGTCCAAACTCTCCAGTCCTCCAAGTTTCCTTTTTGCAAACGCTTCTTTCACAGGGCTTGTTACATTGTTGTGATCAAATTTCTTACGTCACCCACAGAAACAGCGAGAACGTTTGCAGATCACTCATTATGCCCCTTTGATAACGGACAACCACTTTCATGGTTGTACATCTCCACCAATCACAACCCAGTAATATATGGATGATTTTCCCGCATAGTGTATGCCATTGTATGACCAGAAAATTGGTGATATCCACATCATAATCCCGTTAGAACCCCCATTGTATTGCCCTTGGCATGGCTTTTTTTTGTTTTTTCTGAAAATATACACTTCTGTATAGATACATTTGATATATCATTATATTTGATATATCATGATATATCCATCGCCCATTGATTTAAAAAAAAGTGTAACATGTGTAACATGTGTAAGTTGTACCTGTTGTACCTGTTGGACCAGTTGGACCAGTTGGACCAGTTGGACCAGTTGGACCGTAGGCCTATGGCTACCGACGCCTCTCCGAATCGGAAGCCCGTTCAAGGCTAGCCATGGGCGACGGAGGCGTGGATCCATGCCATGATCATCCTGGATCTGCTGGGTTTGACCCAGAGATCGTTTTGATCGTTGGGAAACAAATGGTTGGGATGAAACAAATGGAGGTTTTTCGAACCAAAATCGTGAACCAAAATAGTGTTATACCAGCAGAAATTGATTTAAATGAAGTTTTACAAACCAGAATAGCTTCAAATTCACCATCACCAGTTGACAACTCGCAGTTTTTTTTCAGGTTCCAATCGCGTGCTTCACGTGGCGTACCGCAACGGCGAGTTGGTTGGCTGTTGTTCCTCCACGCTGCAACCACCATGGACTCCCAGGTGCGATGGTACCCCCAAATCATCCAAGATTAGACCGCTTTTGTATTGAAACCCATGGTTTTAGGGATCCCCCATTTTTAAGAAATTCCCCATATTTTATGGGATTGCAATGATGGACATCTAAAATATGAATCGAGAATGATGAAACCATGGTATGATGATAAGAGAAAACTGTTTGTATCTTAGGTGAAAATGACGAAGATCCTACAAGTTGATGAAAGATCCGGATTGCTTTCCGACTCGCCAGGTTTCCAAGGGTTTCTCCAACGGTTTCCCACGGCAGGAGTTGTGGACACTGGGGACTTTTGTCAGTTCATCCTGATGCACAGGGGACTGGTGTGGCCTCAGTTGCTCGGTCAAAGGTTGGTTGGGAGCCACGACCCAGCAGTTGGAACCATTGGGGTTACCATGTTCATATGCCAATTGATCCATGTTGAAACCATGAATGGTACGCCAATGGTAATTGGGTTTAGAAACTAATGAAACCCATATGAATATGAAAGCATGGTAATATATATATATATATATGAATTATATATATATAGTAAGTCCCAGAAAGACAGAAAAGTAATTTATCACCATTTTGCCCGGAGTTTACTTTCCTGTCGGGGTTTCTTATGATTGAAACTGTTGATCTTTGCTCAACACGTTGCTCCCAGGCGTTGATTGCCGCTGCCGAAAGGCGATTGCTGGATGCTGGATGCAGCACCTTGGTGGTGGACACAGTAAATCATGTCATCGATGGGCCATGGTTTCCATAGTTAAATAACCCGGGTGATAGAACTGGGGCATTGGGCGTTGAGAAGTTGAGAATATTGAATGGGGTTGAAAATGCAACAAGTCGGGGCCAGGTATCACTGGTAGCAAGATCCATGTGCAGGAGAAATCTAAATTGGCCCTCTAACTTTGGCAGCAGTTCAGACCAAACCTGTTTGGGATCCAGCACGACAGATTTCGGGCGATGTTCGTCAAGTTTGTTGCGAAACGGCAATTCGCTGGGATGCCTAGCTGTCAAAACCCAGCTGGTTCAAGGTCACTTTGATCCGAGCAACGCCCAAGGAAGCATTCAAATTGAGTATGAGTTCACCGCCAGCGACCCCGATTCGGAACGACTGCTGCAGTGGTATGAGGTGTGGCATTTCATGTGTCGTTCAAATCAGGAAAGCAGTCCTATGAATCCCATCCATATCCCATCCATTTCATGTCCACGGCTTCACATGGACTCAGCATCCATTGACGTCCGTGGACTGCTTGGGGATGGTCACATATTGTCACTGCGAAGTTCATCACACCTTCGGCCAGGGAAAGTGCGGCTTCAAGAGTCGCTTCCTCAGGGAAGGATCTGAAGGTTGATGCCATTTGATGGAGACTTCCTGAAAAATCTCCAAAGTAGGGAGAGCAAACCAATGGACTTGGTCCCGAACTTTGGCTTTCAGGAGATGCGTGTGTCTTGAGATGGGGATTGTATAGATGACAGAGGTGGAAAGATTGTGCTGAATTGATGTCCCATCCTACGGAAAAATACAGGAAAACTTAATGAAGAAATGATGGAAATGGAAATAGGCACATATGAAGAAGTCTGAAGTGCCAACCTGTTCAAAACAGCATGTTCTAGGTGGTTCTCCCCCACCGAAGCGTGGCTCGGAATTCCGTTGCTGTCCAGGCCTCAACAATCTGATGTGATTCAAATCACAACCATCAAGGATCAGCAATGAGTATGGAACCAACGCCTGGTCAAGGATTTCAAATACACTACAAATTGATTCATCGAATAGATGTGAATGACATGTTGCTGATGTTTTTAGTTCGTTTGAACAGCGCGCGCTCGCGCAGAGCCGTTTTTTTCCGAGCAAATCAACACTGTGCCACGAGTCATGTGGCAATATGATCACCCATGGAAGCTGCAGAAGCTGCCATGGTATAGCTGATGCAGTGAGGGGACTTGTATTTTGGTTGTTTAAGCGTTTCCCTCTTGCTAAACACACTAACTGAGGTTTATCCTTGACAATTCCAGATACCTAAGTAGCAAGATGTCATACAACGGCGCCGATCCAAGCCCATCCTGAGGTCGAAAGAAACTCGACGAAGATAGCGTGTACAAGAGCTCTGGCGTGGTGCTCAATGAAGTTGCCAGCAAAAAAAAACAGGGAAATCCTATTTTTGTAGGGTATCCTGGTCTTCCTTGCCAACTTCCATGTTTTCAATTGCAACAGTTTCGCTGGGAGTTCTGTTTGTATCAAAATGATCAACTGCGATGGGAATCGGAACATATGGATTTCCCTGGCATAGGATCACTGGGTGGAATAGGCTTCAACTTTTGAGATACAATACCATCATATGAATCATATGCCTTGGGTACGTCTCAAAGCCTGGGAACTAGCCATGGCACTCATTTGTTGTGCAATCTTCGTTGCAAAAATGCGTTGCAAAAATGTTGAAAACGGGTCTGCGGCGAAAGACTTAAAAAAATGGCGAAAGCGGGTCTGCATTCACCTGACAGATTCTGATAGATGCCCATGATACTTATATATATATATAGAGATACTTATACTTATATATATATATATGACGACTTATGATACTTGCCTTCCATGGATTCCATGGGCTGAGGTGAAGTGGTGACACGCCTGAGCCGAGTGTTTGGGACCTCGGCGTCGTGGATCACCTGGACCATCGCCCGAAACAGCCTGAAGGTCCTAAATGGAACCCCATGTGTTGCACCATGGAACCCCTTCAAAATGGTTTTGGTAGATGTTTGGTAGAGTCTCCTGACGTGGCTATTGGCTATTTTCGGGTCGCATAAGCTGTTGCCAGAAATGGCAATGCCAAACTCCCTCAAGTCACTTGTTTCATCTTGTTTCATCTTGTTTCATCTTGTTTCATCTTGTTTCATCTTGTTTCCACATGATCTTTGGCTCAAGATATGTTGTCCATTGTTGTCCTCCCCTCCGTTCTCCTTTTTCAATAGCCCATGACAAGGGTATCAAAACCACCGATCTTCTGCCAAGGTCCCTCTCTGAAGCCTCCGAGTCCGATTTCAACCGCAGCAGCGATGAAGACGAGTTGGAACGAAGGGCAGTGAAGATGTGTCGAGTGTCATAGAAATCCTCCAAGAAATTGCTGAAAACTGCTGGAAGTTGGAAAGTATTTGCTGATATTTGCTGTTTCACCACTTGTTTTGAGAAGAAACATCCAGATGTAAATGGGATGTTTGGATTTGTTTGATCGGATTTGTCCACTTCCAGAGCAGACCTGAGGGGTTTCCGTCACCACCTGAACGCTGGAGATGTTGGCACTGACACTTTGTGCCGATGGCTTTTGCAATCAGCCAGCGATCATGGGAGGATGGAACCAATCCAAGCTGCATCGTAGATGCAGGAGTTGTCTTACATTGAACCCTCACAAGTGAATGCAAAAGTCAATGCTGCTTGGTGAGAATGTTCTATCTCTCCCCCCTCTTCCTTTTCGCAAATGTGGCTGGTCGGTGCAATTGCATGGTTTTTGTGTTGCAGCGTCCCGGACGTTGCTGGCTGCAACCCGTGGGGTCTTCCATTCAGTCGTGCAGTGTACATAGTCTCTCCCTTGTCGAGCAGATTACTTTGAGGCCATGGCCACTATGGCAATCACCGATCCTTCCTATCTTCCACCGTCTCCAGATTGCAAAGTCCTGCTCGGCACAGACATCGTATCCACTGGCTCATCTTGCCACAAACACGCGCATTGGAGCTTGGAAAGCCAAAAAAAGCTCTCAATGGCTACAGCTTCAATGCTGCAATGTGCATTTTCTAGCCTCTTCACATATACCAGCGGGTCGTCAGAAATCAGGAACCTTACCATGGAGTACGCGTGACAAATCAGGAATGCTTGAGCCCTTGGGCGAGTTGATTTAGTTCTGTGCTGGTTCGGGTCGACAACTCTTCAGTGGTTCGATGTTGAACAAGTCCTGAAGCTGTGGGCTCCAGCCGTTCTGTGACCCGCTGAACATGAAGATAAGACGTGGAAACTGGAAGCCACTGCATGAGATAATTTGATTTTGATTCCCTGAGCACCTGCTTGGTTCGCCAGTTCAGTTAGCAGTGATGGTGACATTGGAGGTTTCAGGCCATGTCAGTGGGCAATCCTTAGTCCTAGCTCAAGAGAAACTCCTTGAATCAATTGAACCTGCACCACTCCACTTTACCCACCTTGAGTCGGATGCCAAGTATCAGCAACCTAACCTGTAACTCCAAAGTTCATTCGACACTGCTCCAGAGCGTACGCCGCGCTGCCCCTTTTTGGCATGGCAAAGGCATGCAGTGCACAGACAGAACAGTTAGACTAACGGTTAGATCGGTTAGAGTTTCGAGTTTCGCTCGGCTGTTGGTCTTCAATGGGACTTGACCTTAGTAAATGATGTTTGTAAATGGATATGATTTACAAAATATGAAGGGATGATGTGGAAAAACTATGAAAAACTGACAGGTTGTTGAAGACATGATGACACCATCACCGAACCACCGATCTATTCAGCTGATTTCAGCTGTTGATCCGAAGGTCTTCCTGGACGTTGATATCGATGGCGAACTGGCCGCGTTTCAACTGGGTCAAGCCTTTGTCGAGGCGTGGAGGGAGGCCATGTCTGGGAAAATCCAGCTGGCCAACTGCATTTCATCTCTTGGGCCCTCAATATTGGTGTATAAGGTGTACAATGGTGTACATATGTGGTACATAATATGTGTACATACCATTACATACCTAACACCACTTGTTCTGAAGTGATTATGGACCAAAGGATGCCACAAAAGTGCGATGTAGGGAGCAACATCCATGCTTTTTTTGCATTTCTTGGGCTAAGACGTCATTGACAGCTCCCAACACCAGGCCAATGACATCAAGTACTCCCTGAGTTCTAAGGACCCGAAGGGATCGTTTGGCTCATGGATGTCATAAATCTCGTCGTTATTGCGAAATGGGAGGACAACATGCGCTCTGTGTGCAGTAGTCAAAAATAGCTTTGTTTCCGTTGCCTGTGAAATCTGTGAAGACGTTTGAACAAAGCCAAGAAAACCAGCTCGAAAGACATTGGTCTTGATTCTCTGATATTCTCTGTGAAAGAAGGAACGACACTGTGTTATGGGACCCTGATGCGTTCCTCTTCAGTGTTTGGGCGCGAAATATCCACTCCTAAACCAAGGAATGTACCCACTATGCAGCACGTTATCAGGTGGATGATAGGAGAACAATGTCCGAATGAAAATCCGACCTGGACCCTGGGTTTGAAAGATCAATTTGCCTAGACCTGGCCATATAATAAAATATCATATGTATATATATATATGTATATAATTATGTGTGTATATATATACACACGTATAATAAAATATCATAATGTATCATTGCCCCAGGACGTCTTAGCCCTGGGCGGCTCCGAAATCTCGCGACTCCCAGAGCTGTTTGAGGTGTTTCCAATGGGTCCTTTGGGAGTTTTGAAAAAGGATGCAGTTAGCATCAGTTAGCTACGTGGTGCAACTCGTTCGCATGTTTACCAAACAGTTTAATCCCATGTTTTTTCGTTTGTGAAGTGTTGAAAGACCAAGACGCAGAATGTTTCAACTGTCAGCCACCGCCTTCGAACGCGAGTGTGACTCTTGAATGGGGTGCCAAAAGAGCAAAAGATTGGCCAGCCTTGGTGTTCATGTTTTCGGAAGAAAAGACATCCAAAAACGATTTTATGTGTGATTTTCCCTTGCCAGGTCAGACTTTATCAAAAATTAAACAATTCAAGTATATAATGAAGCAACTGTATTCAGCGATGTAAAATCGGTGCAGGCCGACTACGAGTGGAGTCAAAAAGGCCGAGCCTTGCAACTTGGAGGAAACGCTGAAGAATTGGGGTTGCAACTCACCAAAAATTGGAGAAGAACCAAGCAAAACAGATATTGGGAATACATCACATTAAGATGTAAGCTCAAAAATGTGGATACAACGCTCCGAAACAGTTGTTGAATAGGCTGCGGGTGCCACATGTCACATGTGTCACATGAGGGCATGAGGGGTATGTGATATGTGCCCTGTCTCCAACAAGAAGTCACTTGCGGCTCAAAACTTCTTGGACCTCCACGTTTCCCTTGAGACAGACTCCTGCAGACGTCTTATCCTTTAGCATGTGGGTACCTTCAAATTGGCGACCCCCAAAGCTATTTTCTCGACCTACCATGAAATGATTGCTTGTAGCAAGGCGAGAAACACCCATTCTTGGTACCACTGTTCTTCACCATCCCACCATTCTTGATGGCTTCACAACCCGGGAGACTCATGGCTGGGCTTCCAGTGTCACGGTCGCCAGCAGAGGTTTAAGCCTCCCGAGCAGCGAGTGGTCGTGTGGTCCCCAGGGGAATGCTGGGGCCTTGGGAGATGTTAACGGAAATGATATTGTAATATAGCCAGCCCATGCCAGCCATTAATCTAGGATTCCCATTATAATCATTGATGGATGAATTGGGATTACCACTTGGTGCCAGCGCTATATCGAATCCGCATCAACCATCGAGTAGAAGGAGAAGACAGAAATTGTTCGGCATTGCTTCCTTGAAAAAAGGATCCCATGTCTGCATATAACGCGACAACCGATTTGATCAGATCAATGGTCCCAACATCTTCCCATAAAATCGCCTATAGATATGGCACTTACTCAAATATATACATATATATATATGTCATATCCCGCATTCGTTGCCAATCCACATTTCTGGTCAAATTTCAAATCACCACATGTCGGATGGACTCACCCGACCTGCGCCAGATCGAGCTCTACGAAAAGGAGAGCCCTATGGCATGTGCCAACTTCAAGGCTTGGTTCTGCTGAGAATACTTTTCTCGGATTCAATTTGAAGCGTGGGAAAACAGTCCCTCAATTGCTACTCAATTGTGTAAAGGTCAATCCCAGATCATGGTTCGACTGGTTGCGGATGCAAAGCAATCCATTGTGAGACATCTTCGGTGGTTTTTCAGTGTTCTCTTCTGCCAGAATGCCTCCAAAACGATCTCGGAAAATGTGTAAGGTGGGTCCTGCCACTCCAGGCCTTCTGCACGGGCGAGAAGGGAAAGTCCAAGGAATCCGGGAAGGACCGAGCTGCGCGAGCTGCTCGCGATCTGAGTGGTGATAGCAGTTATATGCAGTTATTAGATCTATCAGCGTCGAGTGGAGTGGATTCGAGCCAGGAGATGTCGTATAAGAATGTGCCATTTCATCGGATCATCAAGGGCTTCATGATGCAGGTGCCCGAGTGTCGGATTGGCGAAGTTGGCGCAGTTGGTGAGTTTTTTGGACCCGATTCCTTCTTCCGTTAAAGCATCCGTACGGCCGCTGGCGGCTATGTCAATATTTTGCCAGGTGTTTTTCACCCAAACTTGCAGCAGATCAACAAAGCGGCCAACCTTTTCAACGGTAGCTATGGGAGTACGAGTCGGCAAATCTCCGGTTCAAAGTGACAGATCTCGGGAAACAAATGAAAATGGTCAAGATGAAAACCCAGATTTCACGAGTTGTCTATTTTTGTCTACATCCCCCAAGATTTCTCTCTGTGACTCCAGGGTGGCGATTTTGTGACTCACACCGGAGCTGGTGGTGAAAGCATCTATGGAAAGAAGTTCAAGGCGCTTGGAGACCATCTTCCCCTGCACATCATACGACTGCAGAGATAGACTGACCACCCAGCTTAAGGAGATATCGTACTGGCATGTACTGGCTCAAGCTTGAGCGTGCAGAAAAAAGATACCTTCACAAAAACATGATTGGCAAATTGTAATAGCCTGGTTATACTGTTATGCCCTGCCCTCTGAACAGACAATCCCCACATCCCTTCCCTGTCTTTCTCAGTGGCAAGTGGCTACCGCCAACCTGCAGGACGATGCCGGCGGATTGAAATTGAAACATGACGCCAGAGGTGCGCCTGTTGGGATGGATCAGAAATGTCTGCCCCATTTCCGAAAGCAGACTTTGAGAATGTGTTATATATTGTTATATAACATCCTTGTGAAGATTATTTTTGGCTGGCAACCTTTGAAGATCACAGGATATGCAGGTTTTCCACACCAGTTTTCAACACGGTTTCCCAGGCATTGTGTCCATGTCCAACACGGGCGCTGGCCTCAGCTCTCTGGACCGAAAGATACCAATGGGGTATCCGAAGGTAGTGATGTGCATTTCTACAAAGATCTTATTGTGAAAGATTCTGGAAATTTCTGGAATGTTTTGAATATGTAGTGCAAAAATAAACACAAAGTTGTCAACGAACACTTAAAGTTTTGCAAATTCCCCATGTTAAAGGGTTGGCATTTCTGGAGCGGAATTGGACTATTGAGACTGTTGGCCAAGGTAAAAACTCGAACACCTGCCAATTCTTTATCACCTTCAGTGCCAAGCTCAATGGGCATGGTGCATAAGTTGACCAAATGTGACCAAAAGGGCCTGCAAGGATAGCCTTGTTGAAATAGTTGGTGAAATACGATGAAATACGTTTACTTCGGCTACTTTGGCCAGCTGAGATAGTGCTTTCACATGGGATGAAAATGGATGAAATGGATATTGGTCGAAAAATTGCCAAAATCTGCAGTGCCCTCAGTGGCCTGGGTCTTACATTGTGGCATGCGCCGAAATCGTCAAAAGAACGTCGAGATCAGCTCCGTGGCTTCCCAACTGTCTGTGTCTCTGCCAGGCGATCAGAGTAAGCTGAACGGAAAACATGTGGTCCTCGGTCGAGTGGTACAGGGCATGGAGGCACCGTGGAAAGCAATGGAAAGCACCAAGGGATACCAAGGGTAAGGGACCAAGTTGGATCATCTGGGACCATTTGGACTTTGTATGGACTTTGTTAACAAATTGTTACACAGTTTGGTGAGGGAAATGGTGAAGCGCTTCACAAGAAAGATCCGCAAGAGTTGCAACCCTCATCAAAACATTCAAAACTCGTGAATGGGACCACCCAGGCCCTCAACATCCCTCAACCATGAAGATTTGAAAAGAAATGAAAGAAATGACTAAAAATCCTAGGGTGATGAGTTTGAAAAAGTTTGCTCTGGTGATCAGTTTGGAGATTTCGAAACTTTTTTCATTTCCGTCCAAATGACCGGCTGTTTGGGACAGGTTACAACCACCAGCCACGTGATATTCGAGTTCAACATGCCAGTTTTGTTGAATTTGTTGAATATCCCTGCTTTCTTATTTGAAATTCTATTAAAATCCGATTCAAATCCTATTGAAATCCCAATGGCTGAGATGTTTTTCTGGGTTGGAAGAAGACAGGTCATTGACCGAGTCGAGTTGGAGACGGGCACCGAAGCAGAGAGCAAACCTCTGAAACCCGTGGCGCCTCTGACTTCAGCTGGGTGGGTTTGCTCAACTTAGATTCGCTGAGTCTGCGACTTGTTGTTTTCCTATAAGTCACCCATTTAAGGCATAGGGGAATATGTGTTCATTTTTGGGGCCCATTTTAAGCACATCCAGTAATCCAAGAGATACTGTAGCAAACATTGGGGATGAAATGAATGGAAGATCTGAAGGAGCAATACAGGATTGGAAATTCATGTTGGGGAGTGGGCTTCCTGATAAACAGTTGTAGGTGGTATCTGGAAATCTAGGCTTTCAGAAGCTGCTTCTTCACCTAGCATGGGATGACAGACATCTATGACGTTCCAATGTTTCAGTTAGTGTTCCATTTGCAGTGTTTCTTACCCATGATTAGAGATTGATAATGCCCACAATGTTTGGGTGATGGGTTGGGTGATGTGAGACATTTCACTACCATGACACCACAGCCAAGACGATCGTCGACTGTGGCATCCTCTCGTGAGAGTGGCGCTGCCATTGGGTCCAGCAAGATCCGTTTGTGATTTGGAAGGTGATTCCGGAGAGTTTTCATGTTTATGAGGAAGAATAAATTGAATTAAAGCTGCTGATTAGGCAGTTCTGAATCTTTGGCATTTGGGACCTTTTGTTGCCAATGTCACATTAGCGGTGCTGCGAAGCTAAAGTCTTTGCAGACTGACGTCAATTTCGAAGCTGGAGCTGGCACATCAACGAAAACCTTAGCGCTGGAAAAGTGTCTGATTTATCAGCTGGGATGGATCAAAGCGAACCAAAAGTTTTTCCAAAAGCCGAGGTGTGCCAGCACTCCAAGCCCAAAGACTTCATTGAAAAGACTGGCCTTCCGATTACAAACCCAGGTTGGCTAACAATGTTTGCCCTTTAGGGTTTTAGCACTTATGTGAGTTATATACCATCACTTTTCCAGCACCAATCCTATCTGATGATGTTTACGAGTCCATATTTTCATATGTGTTGTTTCCAACAAATGAAGGCATTGTCCCAAACCCGCCGGAAAGGCAGGGCAAACCTTTCAAAAATCCCAGAGGGGTTAAGTATGGTTAAGTCGTGTTCGATCCAGGGATTTAACCCAGAACAAAAGACAAAGAGGATAAATGAGGATAAATTGAAATGATTGAAATGATTGAAATGATTGAAACGATTGAAATGATTGAAATGATTGAAATGGAGAAAGGAATGATTTTAAATCAAAAATCCCAGATCCATCCAGATCCTTTCCTTTTCCCAAACTTTCCCATTCCTATCCCACTGGCGGTGGTTTTTGGCTCGGGCTCTCAGCTTTATTCAAGTTCGGCACCTCCCTGACGACAAAGATGGCTACCAAGGAGAAGATCTCTTCATCTGAAATCTCGAATACTATTCGGTACCAAGCTACTTGAAAAGCTACTTGAAAAGGTGGTAAACCGTGGATTTTCAACCCAAAGCCCCCAAAAAATGGAGGTAGTGGGTTTACATCTTAGGGTCTTTTCATGTCCGTAAATGGTAAATGGATCATGGATGTCATTTGTACCTGTCTATTGCGTTGGTGCAATGCCTCCATTCTATTCGAACAGCTGTGCTTGGCGGAATCCGATGGAATCCTCTGAGTTGTCCCACCAGAGAGGCTTTTTTTGCACCCAGTTTTTACTTATCATATCTTATCATCATGTTTTTTATTTGGTTGGACCCAAGTTTGCTAATATATAGCCCCGTTGTTCTTAATTCAATTCACATTGCTGATGCTGCCATGCTGGTAGTGTAGCTTTCAAGGCAGCGGCCAGTGCGGACATATCGACATGACGTGTTTCCAATCAGGGGTAGCGAGATATTCCGTCCAACACCCAACTTTGAGGAATTTGGGTATTGATGACATCCCAGGCCCATTCCCATTTTTCATGGTTAAATCATATGAATCCTAAGTCCTCTTGGTTTAACATTTAAACTCCTCATGTTGGACATTTATTATGAATCATCATTCGTTGCCTAACCCCCCATGGTTCACAATCCTAATCAACGACTTTAACTGTTATCATCTATTATCCCATTTTTGAACACTATAATTAATCATCACTACAAACTTTAGAAACCATTGTGCAAACCCATATTTAAGTTGGTTCGACTTCCCCAGTTTCGTCCATCCAATTCACCATAGATCAACATCCCAACATCCAGGACCGTCGCAGCTTGGACGAGCGCGCGCAGCTCTTGAACCTCTGGTGCCACCGGGTTTCCAATGGGGGACCCCCAAGTTATCCAAGGCATTCCAAGGCATTTGTCCAATTTGTCCATTGGTCATGTTGATGGGGAAACCAAAGGTGAAGAGGGGTCCTCAAGTTTGAGAAACACCCAAAACGATGGCTGAAGGAATTCTCAGAATCAAAATCATTTGGTTGAAGATGATGAAGATGTTTTCTTTCCAAAGGCCAGCCACGAAGCCCTCTGTCAGGTTGGACGAGTGTCCTCCAATTCGCTGGGTGGCAGAAAAGCCGCTTGGACTCAGATATATTTGCAGCAAAACTCCCAAGAAAAGCATCGGGACGTATAATCTATTGGCTCAAGTTGGACATTTCATGATCGAAAAAAACACGAATACATTAGAAAAAGTGTTTGCAAGACATTATGATTCAGTCTTTACCTCATGGTTTCCAAATGTCCAACTCCTGTTTTGGGCTTGCTATGGTCCAGTAGCATCCGCACACGTTTCTACCCGTCAGGTGTGGTATCTCGCCATTGGCAGTTGCCGCGGCAGGCATGTCAGGGCATGTCAGTACCTTTGCTGGCGTCCACGGCATTTCCCTTGCCTTGCACCATCTGCACCTGGCAGGTTTCCTTTGGTTTCTGCTCTTCGTGCTGTGGGGTTTCATGGGCGACCTGGTTTGCAAGGCTGGAAGTGTTGAAGGAGCTGTTGGACCGTCAGTGGCCACACGTGATTCGTCCCTCATTGGATCTCCTTTAAGATTGCTATGGGCCCAACCTTTTGCATCATTTTGACCCCACCCAAGTATCAAGGTGGGTCTACCCGTCTACCCGCAGCGGTTTGCCTTGGGGATCGAATAGTTTGGGAGGAACGAATGTCACATGTCTATTGACCACCTTTGCACAGGTGGTTGGCAACCTGTATCCCATGTACGCGTCCTTCCGAGCCAGTGTCTTAGTGATGAGCCGCTGAGGGACAGGCAAAAAACATCCTGCCAGAGTCCACGACTCCATACCCGAAATGAGGGATTGGACACGACTTGGATTTGGGGGTTGGTCGAGTTTTGAACTTTGGAGCCACCCCTGTGGAGTTTAAGAGAATATCATGAGACGAGGAGGATGAGGATGAGGATGATCAGGATGGTCTTGAGTCTTAACATAACGATGACATCAACGTGAAGTGACCATGAACATTGTTGAGATATGTTGTGATTATTGTCTTATTGTAGAGCTTCGCACACCGGCGATGCCCTTCGGGTTGGAGTCGTTCCTGGCTGTCCCAGGAGCTTGTGTTGGCAGCATAGGAAAGTTTAGGTTTGAATAGGGTTGGTATTGTAATGTATTGTAGGGAAGCGGAGGCTCACGCAGAAGCAGAGATAGGCCGAAAGTGTGACAAGTCCCTGGAGAATGGTAATGTCAATTGATATCAATTTATAAATATTATATGGTTGGTTTATGCTTTACTCACCTTTCCTCACATTACAAACCCTTGAGAAGCATGTGACTTCAGTTGATATTTCATGGCATGTGATTTCATGTTATATTTCATGGGGAACCATGACAACTACTGATTTTGGGGAAGTTTTATCGGAATGAATGGCATTGTTTTTGGAATCGAGCAAGATCCGATGGCAGCGGTGCTCGTTCTTGCTCAACCGGGCAAAAAGTTTCTGTGGAAGATCGCAGGATGGCAGAGCAAACTCCCAAACACCAAAGAGTCTCTTACTTGTAGCTCAAATCCTCATTTTTTTGTCGGGGTGAGATATCCATTGTTTGTTGCTTGACTCTTCTGCTTGGGCCACTTTGGTTGAATTTCCATGACTTTCTATTTTTTGATGGGGGAAAACCCAGCTATTTTTTGATTATAGACTTGTAGAACTTATAGATGTCCATTTTTCTTGCTTACTGTCATCCTATCAATGCGTGATCCATAAATGACCCATATATATATATACATATGCATGTATTCACCCCGCTTCGCGTGGGGTGGCCGCCCACACCGCAGGTTTATTTCGGTCCGTGAGAGGGGCTAAGGGTGGTTTTCCCCCGTGGGGGCTCTTCAAGCTAAGAAGTTTCAATAAGAAATCCTTCCAAAACATTGTTTTTGACAGTGTTTTTCCAATGTTTCCAGTCAAACAGACGGTAATTTACACGTTTTTTGCCATAAAGGCAGTAAATCCTTCCAAAACATTGCTTTTGACAGTGTTTTTGTAATGTTTCCAGTCAAGCATACGGTAATTTACACGTTTTTTTGCTATAACGTCAGTCCAAAACACTTGTTTTTGCAGTGTTTTCAATGCTCTGGCATCCAAAAACCCTGCAAAATCTTGCTATGTACAATGTTTTTTTCATTTTTGGCCGTTTTTCCATTGCCGGAAAGCTACCAAAATGACCCAAAATTCCATTTCAATACCCTCTTGCGCTCAGACACCCAAAAATCCTCGAAAAATGTCGAAAACACCACCGTATTCTGCTCTCGGTGCGAAACCGTTTTTGGGGTCTGGTCTCGGTGCGAAACCGTTTTTGGGCCCCCCCCCCAGCTAAAGCTGATATAGCGACTGCTATATTAACAAATGTCATTGAGCATTTAGTGTTGCTGTTGCCCCCCAATAAGCACGCCTTCACCGCCAAAGCGGTGTGGGCGGATTTGACATTGCCATGTTTGTTTGAGTTCGTCTTTATCGAAGGAAGTTTGGAAGTCAAACTTCCGACAATATGGACAGATGAAAAGCAGAGATGGGAAGAGTCAGAGAAGAGAAGAGAAGAGAAGAAGAAAGAAAACCAAAAAAGAGAAAGTCTCAGAAGAAAGAAGATCCAGGTGCGCGAAAAGGTGGGAAAGTCGCGAAACATTGTGTTTTTCAATGATTTGTGGCTCCGGAGGGTCGAAAAGTAGGCTCGCTAAAGCGGCGGGTGCGGAGCCATCTGGCTAGATGAGAGATGAAAAGTCGCTGTTGTGGCGCGAAGCACATTTCCAAGTCAAAATGTACAAAACACACCAGGGGTCAGACCACTTTTGGAAGTTGAGATGTGGAAAAAATGCACGCCGTTGTGGCGCGAAGCACATTTCGAAGTCAAAAGTGCAAAACACACTAACATCGGACCACTTTTGGAAGTTGAGATGTGGAAAAAGTGCATGCCGTTGTGGCGCGAAGCACATTTCCAAATCAAAAGTGTTAAAAATTGACGGTCTCGGAGCACTTTTGGAAGTTGACATGTCAAAAAAGTGCACGCTGTTGTGGCACGAAGCACATTTCGAAGTCAAAATGTTGAAAACACCACATGTTCGGACCACTTTTGGACGTTCGGATGTCGTTTCGCGAGGCAGGCGCAAGGGATTGTGCACCTTGTCAAAAGTGAGCAAAACGTGACAGATTCGTAGCACTTCCAAAAACGATGGCAGACGTGGGACATTTGAAGAGGATCTGGAAAGATGCATTCCGCGTGGCAGGCGCAATACAAGAGACATGTTCATCAGAGATGTTAGGAGGTCTGGGCGCTGATTTCCTGAGAGGGTTGCATTTGGGAGCATCAGATCTTCAG